GGTGGGTGGGGCCTGGGGTGGGCGTGATCCTAACGGGTCTGGGCGGGGCCTGGGTGGGCGGGGCCTGGGGTGGGCGTGATCCTAACGGGTCTGGGTGGGGCCGGACATGGGTGGGCGGGGCCTGTGCGGGAGGGGCCTGACAGGACTGGGTGGGCCCAGCGTGAACAGGGTTGGGCAGGGCTGAGTGAGGCCTGGAGTGGACAGGACTGGGTGGGCGGGGCTGGCTGGGACCAGTGTAGGCGTGTCAGGGGCTGGAATGAACTGGGCGGGGTCTGGTGTGGGTGGGGCCTGGCCTTGTTTAATGATGGCATGAAATGAGGTGGAGCTTGGTGTTGATGGGACCTGGTGTGAATGCGGTCAGCCCTCAGTGTGGCGGCCACAGGGACCTAAGTGTGGACCCTGGCTCGGGAGGTGGGCAGGGTGGGAGTAGGGTCCGGCCTGCTGCCTCAGCCGTCCCCATGCCCTCCTGCAGATGACCCGGCCTACACCCCCCGCGAGTGCTTCCGGCGCATCAGCCGCCGCCTGCGCGCCATCCTCAAGCGCAGCCGCATCCCCATGGTGAGTGGTGGCCACAGCGGCCTTGTCCGCCTGCCTTGGTGTTTGTGCCGGTCTCTGCGGCCCCCTGAGAGCTCTGGTGGCATGTCTGGCGTTGTGTTGCGACCCAAAGGCCGCGCCGCGCTTCCCTGGCGGTTGCATCCACCTGCAGCTCGTTGGGGAGGTAGGTTGTGAGTTATAACCTTGGACACTGATGCAGAACACTGTGAGTTGAAACTGACACAAGGCCTGTGAGGTTTTTCAGTCTCAGGACAATCTCCAGCATGCGACAGAGGAGGAGACAGACCACTGTGATCAGAGGGTGGGACAATGACAGTGGGTATTGCAGGGTGTATAGGAGTTCACCAGGCAGCAGGCACAGGCCATGCAAAGGTGATGAGCTGTCCAGGTGCCCCGGGCTGGCTGAGTTTTCTGCTTCCTCCAGGGCTCCCCAGCAGAGGGGTCCTGCCCCTTCTGCTCTGATCTCTGGGTCTGCCTCACAGGAAACGCTGGAGACCTGGGAGGAGCGGCTCCTGAGCTTCTTCTCCGTGTCACCCCAGGCTGTGTACACGGCCATGCTGGACAACAGGTGACCGGGCAGAGAGGCCCCAGTTCTGGGGGATGGGAATGAAGGGAGGTAGGGTCAGGTAGAGGAGGACAGAGGGAAGTGAGGTTCGAGGGAGGTGGAGGGCAGGTGGAAAGGGACAGAGAGGGGTGGAGGGCAGAAGAAAGTCATGGGCAGTTAGAGGGGTAGAGGGAGGTGGAATGTTGGGAGAGGGGGCACAGGGAAGTCAGAGGTAGTTGCGGGGCAGAGGGAGGTGGAATGTTGGGAGAAGGGGGCACAGGGCCATCGGGCGTTTTGGGAGAGGGGGCACAGGAAAGTCAGGTGGTTGTAAGGGCAGAGGGAGAGGGGATGGTGGGAGACGGGACACAGGGAAGTCGGGGGTGGTTGGGGGGCAGAGGGAGGTAGGGTGTTGGAAGAGGAGGCACAGGGAAGTCAAGGATGGTTGGGGGGTAGAAGGAGGTGGGGTGTTGGGAGAGGGGGCACAGGGAAGTCGGGGGTGGTTGAAGGGGGCAGAGGGAGAGGGAGGCATAAGCAGGAGGGGTGCAGCTGTTTACACCCAGCCCCTCTGCAGCTTCGAGCGACTCCTCCTTCATGCCATCTGTCAGTACATGGACCTCATCTCTGCCAGTGAGTCCAGGGTCCGGGGACCCAATGGGTGGAGTCTGGGGAGTGCGAGGGTATGAAGAGGCAGCAGGACTAACCACAGTTATTTGGCTGAAGTGCCTTCGGGCCTGGCTCCACTCTGGATGATGCTGGGGTGCAAGCTGGGCAGAGACTCCTCAGTGCACCCTGCCAGGGCAGAGCCTCAGGGGGGCCTGTAGGGGTGATGCGGTACCCCAAGATGTGATGCCAGACACTAGTATCCAGAGTGCTTTGGTCCAGCCCATTTCCCTGTTCCACTTTCCTGCCCTGTGGGCAAGCCCCCTTCTGGACCCTTTGCACCAGGCTGTCCCAGGACACAGCCCCTTCAGCAAGGTCCTTACAGGCCCTTGGTGGCCCCAGGTGCCCCATCTGGTCCTAGTTCCCCAGCTGACTCCTCGCCTCCTGCCTGGTGTTACCAGGGAGATAATTTCCATGGCAACCACAGGCTCCTTTCTCCTGGTTCTCTCTGTGGGTGGCCTTTGTTCCTTGCAAGGAAAGCAGACCTTGGGGGAGGCTGTCCTCGAGGAGGGGAGTGTGTTGGTGCAGGCATCCTTGCAGGCTGGGGGTGGGGTGGGGTGGTGGGCATCCTTGCGGGGGCAGGGCGTTCTGGGGGGGGTGTCCTTGTGGGGTGTCTAGCTGTGACTCACAGTGGAGCAAGCATGGCTCCAGCATGCTGGAGTGTGGAGGAACGCTGGCAGAATAATGCAGACCCCAAGGCCTGGCCTGAGACCACAGAGCGTTCAGTGTTTGGAGTGATGGGAAGGTGGGGGTCATGAGGTCAGCGTGGCTGGACCTTGCTGCCGCCCGCGGACCAGGAAAGGCTGAGGGGCTCAAGTACCACCAAGGCAAGGATAGCTTCGGGCCTTGTGCACCTCAGTTCCTCTGTGCACTGGGTTCCCCCAGCGCTGGAGAGGAGGACCCTGGATGAAATGGACTGACACAGTAATGGGGGTTAAGAGGGAGGGTGTGTCAGAGGCAGGGAGATGGTCAGGATAGAGCAGGGTTCAGAGCTGTTGTGCGTCGGGTCGCTATGAGTGGTGAGCGACTGGACGGCACAGAACAGTAACAACAATGGGTTCCCACGATTGGCATGGGTCTGCTGGCTCCCCTCAGCCTGGAGAACAGAGAACTATGGCCCGGGGCTTTCCAAGAGTGTAGTCTCTGCAGAAAGAGACCTGGTGACATAGTTCATTAGACTCCTAGCTGAAAAGGTTGGTGGTTCAAATCCTCATGCACCTGCCTCCCGGATGTGAGAGAGAGGCAGTTTCCTTCCATAAAGGGAAGGCAGTGGAGGGCGGCGTTCAGTGAGAATTGACTTGTGGGAGGCAGGTTCCCTTCAGTTTGAACTTTATTTTTTTTTTTAATTTTATTTTATAATTTTTGTGTGAGGGTACCGTTAAATCAGATCTGACTGGTACAGGAAGAGATTGTCCCTCCTTCCCCAGCAGAGCATCTGGTGGATTCGAACCATTAGTCTCTAGGATTGTAGTTGCAGCTCCTTGCCACTAGGCCACTAGAGCTCCCTTCAGTTTGAGCTTTAAAAGCAGACTGGGTGTCAGTCTCCCTGCAGCAGACAGTGGGCTTGAACCCCCGGCCTGTGCTTGGCAGCCACGTTCTTGAAGCACAGTGGGTCAAGTTAAAGCAGAGGCTGAAGCCTCAGATGCACAGACACCAGGGACAACCGTTGTCTGCTCTGAGGGTATCTGAAGTGTCCAGGCCCCATGCCCAGAGCTGAACCCTCGCAGCCCCTTGGGGCCCCCCTGCCAAGCCCACACACTCCCTGTCATTCCCCACAGGTGCCGACCTGGAGGGCAAGCGGCAGATGAAAGTCAGCAACCGCCACCTGGACTTCCTGCCGCCGGGGCTGCTCCTGTCTGCCTACCTGGAACAGCGCAGCTGATGGTGGTCCTTTGGTCCCTGCTGAATTGAGATCTCTTGTTTTTAGACTTTGTCGTGGAGACTTGCTCTCCTAGCTTTGCCCGGTCCCCGCCCCGTCTCTCAGACAAGAGCTGGTGGTGACTAGAGCCGCCCTGACCCTCTGCTCCAGGACTTGTATTTGGGCAGGGAGACCTGGTCAGGCGTGTCCACGTTTCTTCATTCACCGTCTTTGGCCTCGCCTGAAGCTCCAGCGAGGAGGGAGAGGCTGGGTTTTTATCACTTTTAATGAATTTGGCATGATTTGTTGTAGATTTTTAATTTCCCTCTCAGGGGAGGAAAACCAAAACTCACCCCACGGAGACTGTGGGGTGGCGCCTGGCCCCTGCTTGAACCCTGTGGATCTTTGCCGAGGGTTGTCTTGTGCCCCACTGCCAGGAGCACGCTTGTCTTGTGTGCTGTGCGCGCCCCCTGCCTGGGAGCCCACTTTAGGGGCTGGTTTCCCCCTTTGTGTACTCTTGTCCCAGGCATGGCCCTGTGCCCTCCTCGTCCCTTTGCCCCCTTCCTTCATGCTGGGGTCCTGGACTTCCAGCCAGAAGCTCCTGACCCCAGCAAGCCCTGTCCCTGTGCTCCCATGCCCCTGAGCCTGGCTCTGGCATGTTGGGTAAGGGCATCTCCCGGTGGTCACCCCTCCCTGGGCTGGGGCCTTTTCCAGTGTGTGATTAATTGTGCTTCTGGTAAAATTGAGGGTTCAATAAATTTCTGGTGCTCTGGCCTTGTAGTGAGTGGCTTTTTTGGGAGGTCAGGATGCTGGCTCCAGGACTGCAGGTCTGTGGGGGGGACAGGGTCACTCCCCATTGCTCTGGCAGAACCATGGAGTGTCCTCTGGTTCAGACCCCTCACTATCCACTTTGCCTGTGTGATGGAACCTCTCGGTGTCTCAGCTTCCCCAGGTGGTTACGTGGGGTCCTTGCAGCTAACACTCTGGCCAGTCACATGATGCCCAGAAACGAGCAGCTCTGCTTTCCTGGAGCTGATGAGGTTCTCACAGTGTTCCTTTCCCCCTCCTTGGGTGCGAGGACCTGGAAGCAGAGGCTTGGAAGTGCAGAGTCCAAGAAGGTGGCCCCATAAGTACACCCCCCCCCAGTGTTTGAAAAGGAGGTTCAGATCTGGGACCATTGCCCCAAGTTTCCCGACCCATAACAGAGGCTCTGTGCTGCTGCAGCCCCTCTCCCTCAGGGACCAACCAGTCCATACTGTGTCCTCTGGACAGCACCGTGGTGGCATCCTGCAAGCAGCTCTGGGGACTTGGCGTTCTAGTACAGAAAATTTTGCTGCCAACCCAAAATGAGTCGATTCAGCACCCACCAAGTACTCCAGTCTCCTCCTGTGAGATTTACAGCCTCTGAAAACCCACTGGAGGGTCAGCTGTGAGTTGCCTCCATGGTGTGGAGTTGTAGGGATTGGGTTTTTTCCGATGTCTTCCATTCGTGGCACTGTGGGATGCCTGCAGCCCCAGAATCAGCCTGTTTCTCCAGAAGCACCCCTGTCGGGGTGTGATACAGGAGCAATGACTTGGGACCTCTACGTGATGTCCTTTCACACCAGTTCAAATGTTTCCTAGACCAATGCTCCCAGGGCAAATGCGGGTATTAGGTAAACATGCCCAAAGAGCTGGACTGACGCGCACAGGGGTCACTGTCTACGGACGTGGTGCCAGAGGCAGGGGCGCGCTGCCGAGTTGGGGTGCACTAGGTGTGGTCTCACCAGGCTGCTCTCGCCACTTCTGAGTTAAACTGGCCTCACTGGTGGCACAGCAACGCGAACCCAAAGGCACGTGGTTCGAGTCCACCGGCTGCTCTGCCGGAAGAAGGTGGACAGGCCCCTCACGCGTGACTTACAGCCTTGGAAAACGTGCTGGTGGGTCAGCTGTGCTTCAGAGAGCTGGACAGTGACTAGGGAGGCTAGAAGGAGAGTTGATGGCTTTGAGCCGTGGTGCTGGAGAAGAGTGTTGGGTGTACGGTGAACTGCTAGGAAAACAAAACAGGCAAGGAAACTTCGTCTGGCGTACTTAGGGCAGGTGGCAAGGAGGGACGTGGTGCTTGGGAGAGTGGAGGGGCAGCGCAGGAGAGGACCCTTGATAAGGTGGACCGGTCAGCACCGGTGTAATCGGCGTATGGGTGGACAAAATATGGAACGCTTCACGAATTTGCGTGTCATCCTTGCGCAGGGGCCATGCTAATCTTCTCTGTATCGTTCCAATTTTAGTATATGTGCTGCCGAAGCGAGCACGCACTACTCCCCTACCGGAAGGCTATTTAAAGTCCAAAGATCTAAATACATTACAGTAAGGGTGAAAAAAAAAAAAATGGATAAATGGTACTATAATTCTTTGCATGATACAGTACATGAAATGATTGCTACTTTTTTTTTTTTTTGGTATTTTATTGGAGAAGCTATTTGTTTCTCTTATTCTGCCAAATATAACTGTGATGGCTGCTGGGAAAATTTTCCATGT